TTAGGTAATAATATTGTCAAAGAGCACATGAAAATTGTCATAAGACATTTAAACGATTATGAAATTATGATGGAATGATTTCTTACATCTAGACATTATCTTTATTCATAATTAGAGTTCAAGAATATGATAAGAATTCTAATATGTGTGATGAGCTTAATGAATTGAACTTGAATAAAAAATGAAATTTCATACACAATATGTATTCATTCTTTTCTCATTAATTTCAACAATTTATTGTGAATGTTGCAGAAGGAGAAGTTGTACATAACTTCTTTAAATATTTGTTCGTGATTACTAAAATGGTGGGATCATCTAAGAGTTCACATTTACAACCATTGCTCACATTCTTTGTATGTGATCTTCTACAATGTAAGTTTATATATGACAATATATTTGATGGTAGTATTGATTTAAAATCAACGGGCATTGCGAGTAGCTTGGTAATGATAAAAATCAATTTATTTTTATTGTCCACTTGGTTAAGAAAGTATTGTGACTGATGAATATGATATTTTGTGACATTTCTTGCAACAAAAAAGACAAGCTATCATCGATGTTTTGAGCTTGTTTAAGAACAACATAAGTAATTTTCAAGATTTGAGAGAAAAATGGAAGAGAAGAATGAAGTTAACATTCTTAACATGAAAGTTGTTAATTATCGTTTTAAATACATTTATTATCGAAGGAAGTGGCCCAGCCCAGCTGGTCGCCGACTTACTCTCCCTTAGTCCCTTATGGGAGGTCTCGAGTTCAATTCTCAATGGAGTGAGATTGTTCCCAATTTACCCTAGGTCCCCCTCCCCCGACGCCACCTAGGTAAAAAAAAATACATTTATTATCGATAACAAATTATTATCACTTTGGAAGTTTGGAGTTGTTATATTTTGTGAGGTACACCGCCACCACTATCATTATTATACTTCAATATTTACACAAACGATTATATGGCTGTTTATAATATGAAATTCAGGAAACCTTACTTAGAGCAAAAAGGAAAGGGGTGGTATTCTCACACTGTGTTAGGGAATGTAACTGGGTTGCACACCATCTGGCGGCCCAACCGTCGGCCCATCAGGGTTATTTTACTCAGGTTCTACATCTTTCGGATCCGGCCCAAAAAGCATATTATACGGATTTATTTGGTTTTCCTTCTTTTCGATTCATGTACTGATTTTATCATTGGCTCAGGCCTAGCCCCCCAATGATTTCTTGTTTTACTTGTTCTGTTTCAGTTTTTTTTTGGAGGAATGCCTCCTTGGAGGGGTTTTGGTTCGGTCCCTCCTCTTTGTTCTCTATCTTTTGATCTTTAATAAAACCTGGTTAATGCTCCCCGGCATTTACCCCACTGATTTTGGTGGTTGACCTTCCGGGGTAAAAAAATGAAATTTATAACAGTGCAAAGATAATTCAGTTGTAATTCATGTTATGTCTTTCTTTCAAAAAATTAAATATTATTGTTTAAAATTGTCTTAATAAGTTGAAGCTAGACTTATAAATCATAGGTGTACATCACTACATCCTTTGTAACGGGCATTGAAAAACTATTTCCATTTTAAAAAAAGTGTGCACGAGTTAGACAAAATAGACCATCCTCACACCCGACATGACCCTACCCGACCTATTTCTACCCATTTTGCAGTGCCCTCCTTGACAAAAGCCCGCCACTAAGTACACGAGCTTCTCCTCTCCTAAAAAACTTGGCAGCTATGTAGCACCGATACCGGTACGCGGAAACGCGGGAACGCGGAAACGGGTACGGGGATACGTCAAAACCAAAAAAAGTAGGATACGGATACGGGGCCATATTTATAAATATTAAAAGTTATGGGGGTGTATTTACAAATATTAAAAGTTATAAGGGTCTATTTATAAATATTAAAAATAGATTTTTTTTGAATATATATATATATATATATATATATATATATATACACACACACACACATACATACATATAATATCCTATGATGTCTACCCATTCATTGCATTGAAACATTTTCCTTTTTCAAGATACTTAGTAATAAATTCATAATATTTCTCATATACACTAGTGTATCTCGAAATATAAATGTAGTCAATAAGTCATTAATTTAAAATGAGAAATAAGTCAACCAACTACAATCTTGAAATTAAAAGTGCAAGTACCCAATTCGGAGTATGAGTTAATGACTTAATTCGGATATAGCCATATAGGCCCATTATTTGATTACCAAGTAAAATGTAGTTTTAGATTTTCATTTTTTTTAGAATTTTATTAAGTAAATTTTGGGATTTTTTTTAAAAAAAAAAAAGTTGATACGGGGGTATCCGTCAGGATAAGAGTATCGGAAACTTTCAAAAAATTACAAAAAAAGATGGAAACTTTTAAAAATTGCAGATACGGCCCGGGAACGTACGGTACGGGTATCCTAGAGTATCGGATACAGGAACGTATCGGATACGCCGATACGCTACCCTAGGGAAGTATCCGTGCTTCATAGCTTGGCAGTATGAAGGAAGCCTCTTTCTTGTGAGGGTGCTGGGAGGACCATAAGCTACTGTAAAAGTGTAAACAGCTTCAGTCCTGGAGTATTAATGAGACTAATTTCCTCAAAAGTGTGTGACGTTTTGGGAACACATAATGATAGGAAGCATTGGATGACCTTCATCTGGATAAGGTATATCCCTTCAGTACTGTTTTAGGACATTGAGAGAGAGTGCTGTCTCTGCTTCTCAGAACTGGAAACTGTTGAGCACCAGTTTTTCAAGCGCCAAGTTCGGGATGGTCTGGAAAGAGGTACGTTCTTGGTTGGGAGTTGAGAGGAATAATTCTACTTCAGCTAGTGTTGTCAAATGCTGCAAAAAATGAATTTGTTAAACGCAAGGCAATCTGTGTGGCTTTTTGCTGCTCTGTGCATATTATTTGAAAGGCCTGAATACCAGGGATCTTTGAAGGAACCTCAGTTGTGGTGCAGAATATTTTTTATCACCTACTGAAGTTACATTTATAATTTGGGAAATTATCGTTGACCTCCCTTGAGGTTTGATGTATTATCAATCACACCCCTATACTATCAAAAATATACTCTTACCCCCTCCCTATCTTTAATGATGGTTAAATAACTTCTAATCTATATTTAGAGAAAATTATAGGTATAATTTCATAATTTTTCGTTATGTCCGCTTTTAATACTATAATTGTATTCAATCACAAATCTGATCGGGTAATTAATAAATTTATCCATATTAAGAACCTTTTTATCGGAAGTTGAACAAAATGAAATAAAAAAAATGACTAAAACTGACCTCACTCTAGGTAGTTCATTTATGCCTTTGAATTTGTAAAGTGACTAACTTTACTCAATTGAAAATGATCAAAATATGCTAAATTTGTCAAAAGTTGAAAGAAATCAACTTAAATGAACCAAATTGACTCAAAAGTGATATTTACTACTCAATTAAAAATTGAATGCAAGAAATTCCCAATATGCACTCTAGACACTTTGTTATCTCTGAAAGTGATATCATTATAGGTATAGTAATAACTTGTAAATTAATATTTGACAAAATATGATCGTGTCTACATGTAAATTATTGGTAAAGAAATTATAGTTTATGATGAGGTCCACACCCAAACTAATGAGTGCTAAATAATTAGGGCGGCTCATGACCTTATCTTCGGTTCCAATCTCCTAATTGATTTAGGTTCGCTTCTAATTAATAATTTAAATATTATTAACTACCTATTTTTTAACATTTAAATGGACTATAACTCATTTTAAAATGTTCTCAATGGTTTTAATGAAAAAATGAACGGAGTTAAAACATGGGCGCCAATCCCAGTCCCAAAAAGTGAGGCCTGAGGCCTCTTTTTCACCGGTCTGGTCTCGGTCCCAACCTAAAATCTCAATTCAAAAATCGGTCATTATATTCCCGTGTATTTTCCTCGTTAGAAAAGTTTCATCAAGATTTCTACAATCTCAGATATATTTCTGAACTTTTAAAAGTAACAGAGATTTATTGTTTTAAGTCGTACCTTTCGATTGTGTCTGTTACTATTCTTATAATTTTTCTCACATGTCGATGTAGTTATGTACCTAATAAATTTGTCAATAATAAGGATTATTTCATTAGAAAGTATGTGTGCTAGCAAAAAAAGTATGGTGGAAAGGTTCTTAATACATATAAATTTATTAATTATCATATTAAATTTGCAAGTGAGAAAATTTATAAAACTAAATTTATACTTTTGCTAAACGCAATTAAGACTTACTAAACTTTCATTAAAGGATAAAGAGGGGGGTAAGTGTATATTTTTAATAGTGCAGGGGTCTAGGTGATAATACGCGAAACCTCGAGGGAGGTCGATGATAATTTCCCTTATAATTTTGTTCAGGTTGTATGACTGTATCCTCCGGATATGATTGATTTTGTTTTATTTCCCCTCATTTTGAAGATGTTTGTTTTGATGTTTTCTTTTGATTTTGGAGTTCTGCTATGGGGTAGGAGAGATTCTCTGTTCTGGTGTAATCCTGTGTGATAAGTCCTGGGGGATGCCCCTCTGGGTTTGTTTGTACTGTCAGTTGTATCAATGTATTTACCGTTCATCTAAAAAAGAGAGAAGTGTATCTATAGCGTACAAATGGTGTACAACTTGAAGTATACAACTAACATTTTTGTATTTGTGTTAGCGTTAGACTGGCATAGTGGCATTTATACAAAATATATCAAGCGTCAAATTAGACCAAGTCGTCTTCTAAGACATTCTCTATCATGCTTAATCGGTTAATCCTACTTGTCAGGAGAAGAGAATGGGCAAAACTTAACTGACTAGAATAAACGTCACCAAACAATTCAACCTGTTAAGAGTATTTCAACCAAACAACCCTCACGAAAGGGACCCTTATTCCGTTTACCATCTTTATTCCAATTATCCAAAAACGGCAGATCAATGTTAAAATGTCATGTACAGAACATATGGCAGGTCAATTTGAAAAGGCAAAAAAAACATCTGAAATGCGTTCTCATAACATTGTTGCCAGAGAATAGAACATCAAATTCATTGTATGATTAAACTCAAAATCCATGTACAAGTGAATGGTTACATAAAATATCAGTTTGTAATGAATTCAACATGTTAAGCTCAAGGAAATAGTATGGCCTTGGCATGTCTGGATCACCAACCACACAGAAAAATCCAGGAGGCTTCTCATTTCATCCCAAATAAATACACTCAAGCATTAGGATGCCGTTTGGGAAGGGTCATGTGGTTGAGATGGCTGAACCTTAAATTTCTAAAAGGAAGAGTCTGGTAACACACTAATTTCAGTGAGCCTAAGTCAAGATCTATTTTTCTATAGACACGCAGACCAGGCCTCTACTATGGCTACCAAAAGGAGTCTAGATCACTGAACAAAATGGCTAAGATGGATGACCATTGCACTTATGTCATCAAACGAGCCTCTTGTCAGGGCCATGTTAACGATCTCTTTGCAGGCAGAGAGTGGGTTAGGATTGTCAACACCGATGCACACAGATCGGACCGCATCAACTGCCTCCTGATTACTAACCTGCAAATAAGATAACAAACAAATGATCAGTTTAGATTAAAATATTTCAAGTACACAATGTTTTTGTTTCTGCAATTCATAATGCACCTTTGCTTCTTAATTTACCTTGTCCCATACTCCATCAGAAGCCAGGATTAAGAATTCAAGCTCAGGGTCAGATAATATTGTTGTTGTTGTTTCTGGATCTGCAATTACCCATCTCTTCAATTCAGAGTCTCCTATTCCTCGTGACACAGCAAGGGATCCCTGAATCCTCCATACACCACGGAGGCAATCTACATAGCCACCCTACAGACAAGCGAATGATGCATCAGTCATGACTCATGATGCAAAATCATTCAAAATATTCACGAATGAGAGATATGAGATTATATGGCCTTAGGTGAGTCAGGATAATTGACTGGACTCAATGTTCTAGGACCCGCTCAGTGTTCAGTAAGGGTAATTTGGCTGAAATTGTGGTTGATATTGATGAACTTGTACGAAAAATGGCTAAAAATACCATCTTGAGGGGTTTTTTCCTATTCAAAACCAATGGGTATTGGCTAGTAAGACTGATTACCCAAAAAGAGTGGCTACCAAACAGCCACTTCATATGTTTATAACTTTAGGCCATGTAGATTGGAGTATTGGACTAGATGAATGACCCTAAGCCAACTATACATTCTATCATAAATCTATACATCTGCTTAGCTTACCAGTGCTTCAACCCTTTCTTTTTCACTTTCCCTTGAGGGCCGGTGATCAACTGTTAGGGCCTCTGCAACCCCACCTCGGCTGATAACTGCGCGACAGTCACCCGCATTTGAGACAATAAGTTTGTTTTTGTGAATCAGTGCCGTCACACAGCTAGCTCCGCCCCTGATATTTTGCTTTAGAAACTCATCATCAGTTGTGAGGTAACCCTCTTTTACCGCCTTTTCAAGTTCTTCACTCTGAGCAGAAACCTCATTCATAATATTCCTACCCATGTTTCTTGCTGAAAACTCTGCAGCTGCAGCTCCTCCATGCCCATCAAATATGGCGAAAAAAACCTGAAGGCACATATTATATTAGGACAAAGATAAGATTCCTCGTTCAACAAGAACAAAGAGAAAGGACTCTGCATAAATTGAATTAGCTATAGAAGGATTTGAAAAATTGTTAGGCTTACAATGCCTTGCCTTTTCAGTGAAGAGTGATGTATTCATACACTTCAAGCGATGATAATCACTCCATTCTAAGTCAGGATAAGATTTTTTTGTTTCGGTAAGGAATATGCACAAGCACTTCAAAAGGTAAATAGTCCTTCATATAATTATTTTAGAGGATATCATATTGCACGACTATTGGTAAAATTTAAACCTCAGGTGTCATTTTTTATATTGTGGATATTTAATTCATAAGAAACTAAAAACGATGCAAAAGGCTACGGGGAATTACCTGTTTAGAGTCTTGGTGATCAACGATGGCCGAATACCTATCCTCCATAACACCCCTTTTTCCTCTTTTACAGTACACGGAGTACCCTTCTCCTTCAACCTCAACCTCGTCCAATCTATCATCACCCCTCGGAGTCTGAACACATGAATCGAAATTCAACGGCAATATCGGAATATTGATTTTCGCCGGCCTCTTTCTCTTCAAAACCGGTGTAGGGGTTGTAGACGAGGTTGAGCAAGATGGATCTTCATTAATTTCGTTCCGAATAAAATTGCGGGTCTGGGTGGGAAGTCGGAGAGTCAGCGAGCGTAAAGGCGACACCGACGATGAGTTGGACGGTGACAATGATGAGGAAACATAAAGGTTCCGGCTGATCGGAGATGAAGCAGTTGATTTGCTGAACACCGGCGATGGCGAGAACACCGGCGAACGAACTACTGCGCACGGCATCTCTTGTCTGAGTTAGGTTTTCCTTCAATTCTGCGGTGTTTGACTGAATAAAATGAAAATGGCAGCCCTCTTTATATGTAAAATAAAAGGGGAATTTGACTTTGGAGTTTCAACCCTATATTTTGGATATATTGGAGTTCGTACCCTATTTTCAAAGTTATGCACATATCGAGCCCGTTTGGTAGCACCAAAATCGGCTGTTTTGGCTGATTCTGCTGAAATTTATGATATTCTGGCTGGAGTGGCTGTTTTGGCTGATTCTGCTGATTTAAGAAAAAAATATTTTAAAAATATATTTTATTAATAAATTAAAGAAAAAATTATATGTAAAAATAGCTAAAATGGTCCTCTACAGTAATTTCAGCCAATACAGCCAGAAAAGTAACTCCAACCTTACTTTTTCGGCTTATTACACAATTCAGCGCGCGAAAGTAAAAATTACGTGTTTGGTGAAAAAGCTGGCTGATAAGCCTGATAAGCCGAAAACAGAGTTATCCAAACGGGCTCATCATTAGGTCAAGAATTATGGAGAAACAAGATGAAAGTCTAATGATTTATAGTGAAATAGGGTACATATATTAATGATTTTGAAATTGATTTATAGTAAAATCAAACTTCCCTTAAAATAAGTGGGATTAATGTGAAAATCAACTCATGTTATAATTAAACAGAGGATAAGGTTCAATTTGGACATTATGTTTACATGTAAATATCATATTAGACACTCAAATTTCAAATAGATCAAATTAGACACTATAGTTACATGTGTATATAATATTAAACACTAAAGTTTCAAATGAATCACATTTAAAAATTTTCTGATCATTTTTGGACACCTACCAAAGAATTTTCACAATTGGAAGCTATAAGTGTTCCCCTTTGTTTTATGTACATAAAAAAAATAAAGAAACTTAACTCGTGTGTTTAGACTTAGAATATATGAAAAAAATTAGTATGCTATGTAATCATTGCATATAAACCATTTTTCTTTTATTCACCAATTAAATTTGTTTTTCCTAAAGTAGTATGCACATATTTAAGGGATACGAGACGAATTGAACACTATGACTACATGAGAATCGTCATTAATGTTTCAAATAAACTAAATCAAACATTATAATTACGGGTGAATCTCATATTAGCAACCAAAGTTTCATAATTCATAGTTTTTGGACACTCACTTACGATTCTCTTCTTCATCTCATAAAAATCATTAGTCTTATTTTTCTTTCCTTTTTGGTGAAAATAAATACAAAGCTAATTGATGTATATGATTTTGGAATATTTAATTTGAGGTTTTAGAATATATAATTCAATTTTAATTAAAAAATTATTGTATTTAACAAGTTAAAAATATATTTAGGACATTTCATTCATATGTTTTTTTTATAGAATTTTGGGAAATATCGATTTGTTAAATTGATTTGACAATATTAAAGAATTCAATATTGGAGCATCTAATTAAACTTTTTGTTAAGAAAAATAATTCATTGATTATAAGTTTAGAAAAATAAACTTGTATCCCAAAACATGAATGACTCGTATTTTAAGAAGTTGTGATTATATACTTTTATACTTTTACTCAACTCTTACCGTGTTGATAAAAATGAATTAAGAGTTATTACATTAAATATAGTATAATACAAAATTCAAATGCAAATACGAAGTACAAGATGTCAAGATTCAAATAAAAATAGTTATCCTCACGGCTAGAACAATTGATTGAGTGATAGGAAAGTTAGAACAGTTGATTGAGTGATAGAAAAATTAGAACAATTAATTGAGTCGTAGGAAAGTTAGAACATTGGCATCGAAACGTGCAGCGATCGTGTGGATGTACAACTCATGTCTGTTGGGTTAAACCTCTTATGCGCACAACTTATAACGTCCCAACTGTCATATTGAGGATGTTTTTACTTGGACTATAATCTGCCCCAGACTAGACTAGGTCAGACCAAATCAGACTTGAATAGTTATAAAAATACAAAGAAACCAGACCAGACCTTATCAGACCAGATCAAACCAGATCAAACCAGACCAGCAAATTACAGTCCAAGTAAGTCGGAGCGTGGGGCCCTTGGAATTGAGGATTAACTTTGTGGAGCATCAAATAAAATACGGAGTAGTTGATAAATACTCGGTACAATTTTGATTGTTGGTGATTATATGTTAAATCACAATTGTAGTCACAATATTTATTTTTACATAGGGAGTAATTTGTTAGTGATAATTGTGATAATTTTGTTGTACGTGTGAACGTTATGGGTTTGTGCACACAAACTAGTACTTGTAAACACAAAATTGAATAAAAAATACGGAGAATATATTTTTAATAACAATATAAAAAAATACTGAAATTTATCGTTAAAAATCAAAATTGCGTAACTCATACTTTGTCTAAAAAATAGATAGGAGTAAATATTAAAATCTGACTAGGTTCACTATTAAAAGGTCAAAAGTTAAAAGAAGAAGAAATGGTCAAAGGAATACTGTAAGGGAATAACTATTTTTCTGGAAAGCATTTATAGCCTTGTAGTTGAATGGTTTTAAAGACTCCATCAATTTTGCAATATAAGATTCGATCGCTTTTGGTGGTTTGACTAGGTATATGCTTGGTAAAGCTGGTTCCGTCTAGCGATTAGGTCTTAAAGTGTAGAAATATAAAATATTAAAGAAACCGTCTAATAATCTTATATGGAGTACAAGAATTTTCAGTTTTTCATCTAAGAAAAGACCGAATACAAAATACATTTTGTACACATTGATCTGTACACGTTTTGCACACATCTTTTATATATTCAATATCACATGCAATTCACTTTAAAATGCAAAATGTATTTGTGCCGCAGAGAAAAACGTGTACATATACACAAAAAATTACACTTATTTCTATTTATAGGATGGTTGTCTTAATGTCTTATGTACAAAACTTTTTGGAAAAATGGTCTTCCAATAATTGTTCGACAATTACATTGCGTGCAATTCCTTTTCCCTTTTACCGAGTACTAGATTTCAAAGTCATGAGTTGGCAAATTTGGAACAACTGAATACTAGATTTCGTTTTCCCGTACAGGTAGCTCAGTTGACTGAGTAGTGTGAAATTTGAAATAATGATCAAGGTTCGAAACTCGCAGTGGCCGTGTGGAGGTTACAACTTCTGCATGCTGGACTAGATCTCTGGTGCGCACGAGAATAAGGTCTACCACCATTCGATCGACCGAGTCACCGTGACTTACCCCTCCACCATTCTGCCGGGTCGGGGTGTGGGGCACCTGGAGTGGGCGATTTCACCTTTTTGGAACAACTAATTAATCTTATTAGTATTTACCCAAAAATAACTTCACTAATCCGCTTCATATTTTGAAATCCTTATTCATATTCTTTACATAATTGTTTTATCTTCCATGTTAAATTGGTTTTTCAAAATACCTTCATTGGAAGTCATATGAGCGGATGCACCAGAGTCAGGATACCAAATAGCTGGAGTGGATTCACCAGTAGAGACAGCCAAAGCAGGAGCCTGAGCTTGAACAAAACGAGATGGACACGAGACAACACCTGAAGAATGACATACAAGAGGAAGAACTGAACCAAAACTGGGCATGAAAGTCAAGGCCTAGGCGTGAAAAAGTAGAAGTTATTTAGATAAACTATTTTTGTTAAGAAAAAATTGATTAAATTAAACAAATACTTTTATAAACTTGTTATATATGTAATCTAATAGGGAGTACAAAAAGTAATGATAGACTCCCTCCGTCCCATTAGACTTTGTCAACTTTCTATTTTTTTTTATCCCAAAAACTTCACAACTTTCCTTTTAGAGTAATGAATTTGTGGTTCTCCTTCTTTCTCTCTCTTCTCTTCTGCAAAAATATCAACCAAACAACTTTTACTATTCTTATTCCACACCGAAATGAAAGTGTGCAATGTTGAGTGGGATGGAAGGATTATCATTTTATATTTTCACTTTCTGTACAATTAAAAATTATATATACTGAACAAAGTAAAAACTAGGCTTAATCTTATATACTCCCTCCGTCCCAAAAAATTGTTCCCAGTTTCCTTTTTAGGCCGTCCCTAAAAATTGTTCCACTTTCCCCTTTTAGAAAGTTTTGTGTGGCTCACATTCAGTTACATTTTTCTTACACAACCACAACCATACATTTCCACTTTATTCCCACTTTCTTAAACTCCGATTCAAGTCAATGCGGGAACAATTTTTTGGGACGGAGGGAGTAATATATTTTGAACACATATTTATTTTCTTCATATGTCACTATAAAATAGTAATTATAAATAAAAATTTAAAACACGTTTTCACGCCTAGACTTCAAAGGCTTGAATTGAGACTCGGCCTCGACGCTTTACCACGTCTCACGCCTTTTAGAACACTGACACCATTTAATCACACCTTTAATCCTAGGTGTAAAAAATAAAACTTTTCTGCCATAACAGTATTATTAGTATTACGCGCAACTACCACAAATTTGACAAATTATGAAGCCAATAACTAAAAACCAATAAAAGAATCCTTTTTAACAAAATCAGAGTATATTGTCATACACCTCAAGGGTCCTAAGATAGGTAGTCCAGAACAGCGGCCCAAGTAATCTACACAGTAAGCCAGGGCTTAGCACCGGGGTCAACATCCTAACCAAGGCCTAAGATGCCACAATGACGCTACCGGATGAGGACGAGAAAACCTGGTTCACCTTGGGCCGGTTGTCATTTTACACTCCAGTCATTTTATTAGGTGTTCTAGTTACGCATCCCTAGGACTTACATCACCACTGACATCATCCTACGTCGGCATGACATACTGACTAGTGTGAATATGCGTGCTCCAAAAGGCTATCAAAGGACACTTATCATCTTCTCATAACGTAGCATTATATTTTTGGCTCATGGCCCAAACTTTATGTTTTACCTATAAATAGCACATTCCCCTTTTGGAAGGGGGTTTGATTTCATTTTGTTAATTTCATTTTGTTATTCAGTCAAATTTATTGTGAGCACTCAAACCCTCCACC